GGAACACAGCGCTCCTCGTGTTCGCTACTCACACATTTACAACGCAAAATGATAAGAGAGAAGTAAACAAACATTTCACACATAGAGTATTGCGACGCAAATAGCCGCTAATGCCTAGTGCGCCAGTGCGTCTGCGTCACGGAACCGTCATCATACCACAAGCACATGCAAAACCCGGCTTGCGGCAATTAGCCGGCGGCAAGTGTACAACACGCATGACTGCTCACACGGACGCACTTGGGCGCCTCTTTTACAATAGTTTACAATACAATTATATTCAGTTTTTGTATAATTTTATACTAAGTTTTGCTTCTTTTTCTTTTGTTAAAAGAAGATACAAAAAGGAGAAAGAATCTATTTGTAACGTTTAAAGTTAAATGTACGCAAAAAGTTCAATGAACAAATTAATTTTTAGTTCATTAATTATGTAATTATAATTTAGCAGAAGAAATTCATATTCATCACATTGAGACCCATTTGGAAGGCCGACGTCTGCATCGTCGTCGTAGTCGTATCGTCCATATTCTAATTTTTGTCGTAATCTTCCTTAAATCAGTGCCAGTTTGCATGGTTCGGCCACAAGTGTTGCTTATTATTTAGGCATCATTCATTTTCATGGCGGCATCGAAATTGTCCACCATAGCGTCCATGCGCTCTTGATGCTCAAAGCGTTCGAAGCGCCTTTGACGCTTAGTTCTTAATAGACGATTGCGAATTGAGGAATATTTGTAGTGCCTCAATCGTGGAAATCGGGCCTTCTTTTCCTCTGCATCATCATATTCAGGAGCGGACACGGAGTCCTCTTCATCGACCGGTTCCCGAAAAAATTCTTTCGGGTTCCGATGGATTTTGAAAATTTTAGTGTCGGCATCGTGTTTTCGTATCACACGGGAATTTGCGCTGATGCCACGTTCAGGCGGCAACTTTGTTGATGCTCCATCATTCAGCGTGCCGCCATTGCTCGCATAACCGTTGACGCCGCCACTACCCCCCACTCCGCTACTAGTTATCGTAACGACATTGAAGAGCTCTGCCAGCTCAGCATCGGTGCGTTGCTGCTCCTTGAGTTTCTTTTTGTACTTGGGTGCGTAATCGAGAATGTAGAGGAGACTGTTCAGTGGCTCATCGTCGGCGCTGCCATTGACGTTGAGATTGCTAGAGGCGGTGGGTGAGGGCGCAGGCGTATTATTGGCCGTCAGTGATGTGGGCGTGGACGGCGGCGCCGGTGGTGCGCCGTGCGATACAGTGTAACGGCGATGCGGCCGTTGGCGTCGTTTCACAACCTTCCACGAAAAAATACTAGGCTCTTGCGGCACCAACTCCAGGTCAAACATTTCACCCGTTTGCGGTGGTGGCGTAGAGCAAAGTTCCACGTCGTATTCTTCATCCGATTTGGCCATTTCGATTGTCTGCTGATCGCATGCCAAAAGCAGTAACAGAGGCAGCACCAAGCACCAAAAAACATCAATTCCGGCGTAATCGGTAAGGGCGTGAAAAGAAAATGGTTGAAAAGTAGATACACAAGGTAGAAATTGTGTTACAAATGTGACTAGAAAATTTTTTGACGTTGGAGGCCAAAATACTGCTGCTTCACCTACCTGGAAAAGATACTCAGCTTCGGTGTATTTTTGGTCAGGCAGTCGATGGAACTCCGCCATCAT